CCTACAGGTACTGTTTACTAACAAGGTGAGAGCGCCAACTACTGGCCTGGCATACGTAATACAGCGTTTTTGGCCGTTTTCGCGGATGTGTGTAAACGCGAATCGTTTTGAAAACGTTGTCGTGTATATGTGAAACTTTTTAAAATCGCAAGGGAAAAACGTTTGCGTTTTTGACTACCATCGTTGTTGTGTAAACTAGAGACCTGCACTCCCGCGGGAGTACCGCAGGACCCAACGCAACAGGGTGCGGCATGGGACAACTCTTGATGGGCGAGTGCGGGTGGGAAGAGACTCGTGTGTGTGCGGGATGCGGGAGAATAAAATGATTTGCGGGACTCCCGCAAAATAGAAATTATCTAAAAGTGTCTAAAACATATAAATTGTTATTTATCTGTTGCACTAAAGCAAAAAGAACAACTAATATTAACATTGAAATGATTAGCGCGCAAGCTAGACATAGTTTCCATTAATAATGTAGACAATCACAGACTCAGCTGTTGATTTCTGGAACGCAATGGCCAATCAGAGGTGATTAAGTTAGAATCTACTCACCGCAGTGCTGAAATTGCGTGCGCTCACGAATCCTCTCATTTTAGACACTGTGAAAGATTCATTGTGCATATATTTAGTGTTATAACAGAGCTTTATGAGATCGCGATTAACTGAGATGTCAGCTTTTTGTGATAATAAAGGAAGTGTGCTGCTCGCATTCTGCCATGCCAAACCATGCACGCAGCAGCCCATGCTTGCTTTCTGTAAAAAATAACAGTGGTTGTGAATATTGATGCTTAGCCTAAATAACAAATATTTTATCGGGAGTGTTTATGCTGGGATGTTGTGGAGCTTAGGAGATGTTACAGAACCATTTCATGTAAATTTCTTCAATGTACTGAAAACAATCTATATAGATTACTTTTATGCGAGCGGGATAAAGCATGAATGTCGCGGGTGGGAGCGGGACCAGATAAGATATATTTTTGCGGGAGCAGGTGGGCGCGGGACAGAATCTTGCGGGAACGGGACTGAAAAATCCATCCCGCGCAGGTCTCTAGTGTAAACGTAGCCTCAGTCTCACAGGCACTGCACGCGATTCATCCACGCCCACTTATTTACATGTCTCGGTATACACAGAATAAAAAATATCTGTTACAGTTGACATTTTCTACTGAGGTAACGATATATACCGTCATACTTCCCAGCCCTAACCGCAAGTATATTTCAAACCTGTGGGAAGCACTGGGTTCATTGGATCGCTATTGTGGTGATCTAATGTGACTGGCAGCTTATCGTCCCACCATCACATACATCATCAGAGATGTCTAATTTGTTTAAAGATTGTGAGGGGACATGGATGATGTTGTGCACAGCTGAATTACTTATAATAAACACTGCAATATAGTTGTTTGTTTTAATAGTGAATTTACAATAAAACCGTTCAATGACTTTTCTCATTTTGGTAATGTGGGTAATGCACTCATACCTGACGACCTGGCTGAAGGCTTTGTAGTTGGTCAGAGTCCTATAGTCTTCCTCAGTGAAGACATGATCGATGTCCTCCATACCCCAGGTATCCAAAAGCTGAGAAGAATTTTTCGGCTCCTTAAAATCAGTTAAGAAAAACACTTCTTATAGAACTGAGTGATTCGATTTGTATTTACTTTAACATTCAGTTCATTTAGCTGACAAAGCCCATATAAACTCACAGCATCGTCATCATCCTCGTCTTCCTCTTCCTCAGGTTCCCTCCGTTTGGAAGCTGCTGAGTTTCTGTCGGCACCAGAGCTGCTTCTTTTCTTGTCCTTTGTGGTGCTGGCTCTTTTCTTCTTTTTCCTGCCAGGTGTGTAGTCGCTACCCTCGCTTTCCGAATGGTCTTCACCATCGTCCAAATCAGGGCCTTCCACTGGCTCCGGAGAACTGATGCCGATATCCTGGAGGACACATAGGACATACTTTTGATCAGTTTTGGATGCTGGTAAAATCACTAGTCCATTGTACAAAACAAGATTTTAGGTTAAGACTTATATTAATGTAAAATACTATGCAAAGGTTTGAATTTAGTAAGATTTGTTAAAGGGGTCATATGATGCTTTTTTAAAGATCATTATTTTAGGGCCGTTTCTAGCCAATTTGACGCTCTAGGTGAAATCCCTATTGCCCCCCCTCCCCAATTTTATATATATGTATATACATATAGGTATATTCTTTTCAAACACCAGTTGCTGGTCACATTCAAATTGGTTGTCATAGTAACGACACTAATTTGTGGAGATTCAGCGCATTGAGTTCCACAAATCTGAATGCATTATTTGTAAATTGACTGTTAAGATAAACATTTTGCACAATTTATTATCTGTAATATCATTGTGTTGCCACTAGATGCTGTATAAGCCCTATGTAACAATCTCTAGTAGCTAAGACATTGCACATAAATCACACAAAAATTAATTTTATTACATTTGGATGCGTGTTTAGATATTATCAATGGCTACTTGTTTGTCTTTATCTGTTTTTTGTTAAAAAAATGTTGTTTCTTGAAACATTGATTTAAAGTGTCAGTTATTGCATTATTATTTCAGTCAAACCCTTTGTTACCCCAAACTACATATAAAAGCTTGATCAGTGGCGTAAAAGCTACTCGTTAAGGTGTGAACTTCTCCTTTAAATAATGTGACGCTCTGCCCTCTATGACGCTGCTCCCATTAAGCGCTGTTGGAAGTGAATTAATTGATTCAGCATTTTGACACATCCGTAAGGATGCATTTAACTCAACAAAGCGGTTTAATAAAGGATGTATTGATCTGGTGTATTTGCGAATTTTACTATACAAATATTTTTTAATTGGATGTTAAAGTTTATATGGGAATATTACATGACACGCTGATCATTTAACAATGCATTGACACAAAACGCACACCTTTTGGACAAATCTCGCAACATGATTTATCAAGTGCCACAAATACTGCCTAAACAAAATACTGATTTTGTGCACTTTATTTACTGTACCAATATTTTAAATTGGCACAAAAAACTCACACCTTTTGGACAAATCTGCCACAAATATTTGGACAAAAGGGCCACAAATACTGCCTAAACAAAATACTGATTTTGTGCACTTTATTTACTGTACCAATATTTTAAATTGGTCTTTGAACTTCGCTTTATTGCATGGCAAAAAAAGTGTTACCTTGCCAAAGCACGGACAGAGCCCACTGATCTAACAGCGTTGTTGAGCGCTCCAAATGCAAACTTTAAATGCAACAATCGGGCAGCAATTGACAGCACTCTGATCTAGTGGCATACAGGCATCGTCAGATTGGCAGTACTCTAGCCCAATAATGGGGGATCCAGTGGGGCAGCAGTCATATTTCAGGGTGACCGTGCCACTCTTTATCACAACCTTGCTAAAAGTGCCAGTACGTGTGCTCATTGGCGCCCCTTCAGCTGGTGGCGCCCTAGGCGACCACCTAGCTTGCCTATGCCTAGAAACGGCCCTGGCTGTTCTGTTGTAAGTGATCTTAAAGATTCCTAAATGCATCTACTTTCGGAAGGCCAAATAAAGTGCTTTTGCTTTCGCCTAGAAACACACAGCGTCTCCCTGACATGCTGCTTCAACACTAACTGCGGTTACTGAAACCACGCGTTCTTTCTTTGCATGCACATTTGGGCGCATTATGCAAATATTTCCACATAATGAGGTACATATGTGGGGGCGTGTTAGAACGAGCCGTTTTAGGGGGGCGTGGCAGAGTCTTAACTTTGATAAAGAATATCTCTTTGGTTTTGAGACTTTAGTCTTTGCAACTTCAGGGATCTTATCTATGCACAATCAGCTTGTAACACTCCAAAGAGAAAGGAAAACTTGAAATCACATCATATGACCCCTTTAAA